ATCAAATTTTTAGATGATTGAATTAAATATTTTATATGAAGAAAAAAAATACTCTAATATCTTGCGGATGATGAGTTGGCATTATCTATACAACTATATCTTCATTAGATTAGAACAATGAAAAAAAGTTCTTTGCGTTTAAATATGAATCAAGAGTTACATTTCCAAGAGAGATAGTCGGATGCAGATCCACGATGGATTCAATTTTAGTTTTTATAATGAGAATCAAATGGATATACTATCATAAAGAAGAAATTCATTTCTTTTATGAAACAATATAAAATGAGTGTTGAAATATAGGAGTAAAAATTTGTAGTCCCCTTTCTGCACTACCCTCACAGATCGTAACAGATGTTGATATACAAAGGATGATGAAGAAATGTATTCCAAAGTAGATAGAATAAAATAATCTCGATTTAATTAGCAAGAGCAGTTACACTGTGTTTCTTCATATTTTAATCCGACAGAGTTTGTGTTAATAGATTTTTTTTTCTATTTTGGTTTTAAATAAATAAATAAAATTTTTGTTTTTGAAAAAAAAGCAAAGAAAACTAAAAAATAGTCAAATAAATATTTGACATATATTGAATATTATTTTAGATTGAGACTCGCTGAGAAGAAATTTTTCAATCTTGGATTGAATAGCATTCAAGTCTTTAGTAAACTCGACAGATTCAAATCGAAATAAAAATTTGTTTGCATGTATTTTTTTGTGTGTATTTCAAGGTTACCGATTGAATTTTCAATAAAGAAGATCAGAATTTCATCAAAAGATAAAACCATCTGTAACTCTGAAAGTTGTTGTCTTTCTCTCATCGAGATTAACTTTGACTCCTAACATAAACTCATCATTTGTAAAAGATTTCGCGATGACTCTCATTTGAAATAATTTTCTATAGAATATTTAAAAAAGGATATTTTCATCAGGAACAAGTCGAAGAAATCGTTCAATACGTTGATCATCTCCAAGAAAATCTTGTTTTAAACATGCATATCCATCAAATTCTGTTAAAATTATTTCACGAGCTCGTCTAAATTAATAATTAAGAAATTGAAAAACAAAAAAAATTTTTTTTTATAATTTACTGAAGTGATGGATGTAGTGGAGAATGAAGTGTAACACGTTTTGATGATTCTTTTCCACTCTAAATTCAAAAATAATAAAAAGATAGAAAGATCCTAAAAATGATCATACAGAAACAATTGTTAAATGTTCAACAATAGCTTGTCGAATACTTGATTGTAATTCTCTTGCTGTTTGATCACAAACCCAACAATGAACACCACGTCGACCAGAATAAATCCATAAACGATGTTCAAATCCAAAATCCTCTTCACAAAAAAAACAAAAGTTTATTTTTAAAATAAAATAATAACAAACCATGTAATACACGATCGATTATTTGCATAGCAAATCTCATTAATGTCCAACATTTCGAACAAATATCAGCACCACTTTACAAAAAGTTTTCTTTTTATTTAATATTTAATAATAGAAAAAAAAGTCAAAAGAATTCTTTACCGACAACAAAATCGAACATCATCATAATCTGTCATATCAATATCAAAAACAAGTTCACGTTCAATTGGATAAAATTGTGCTGCAGAAAGCATTTTATGATCTTTTGGCTAAATTTATAATAATAAAATTAAAATTATAATAATAAAAATCTTACTTTAGCTGAATAAACAGCACCAATATCTATTTTTTCTGGACACATTTTTATTAATTCTTTTTCAAATTCAATATGATTAGAAAATGAAAGATAACGACGATAAACATCATTTTCAAGTGTAAAACTAAATTCACGTTGAGCAAATTGTGAACTTGTTGCAGCTGAAATTATTAATAAATTTAAGTTTTTTTCTTTTCAATATTAAGATTTTAACGAAAAAAAAACTAAAATCACACGAATTATAATAGATTATCTTTCATCAGATAACACAATATCTATTGAAATTATTATTAAGTCAAACGAAATCAAAAGCATCATAGTTACTGATTTCTTATACACTAATATTGTTTACCATAAATTTTCTTTGTCACAGTTTTCCAAAGCAGAAAAGACTTAACATTTGTTAGACAGTTGAAAGCAATCTGACTGGCAGAACGTGAATAATAAAAGTTGCTTTCGAAATATTAACAACCGCTCAACATTTTTGCAGACACAACGTAAAAATTAGAAATGCAGGATCAACCTTTTCTAACTTCTCTCATATAGAGACGCATGTTCAATAAATTGTCTATTAGAAAATTAAATTCGATCCGTTCGAATTAATAATTCGGAAAATAACAAAGCAATACATTCCTTAATCCGTATCGTTATCGACTTCTGTTCCGTTTTGAACGAAGTTTTTCAGCAACGGTCGGCTACACGGTTTTTTCCACATGTTCGACTTTATATAAACTTTTTTTTTCAGTGCAATCCTTTTGATAATCAATCTCTACTCTCAAGTGTTGAACAATTAATCATATTGAATCTATCCAATATTAGACAAATGAAATGAAAAATTATATTTGATTATTGCTTGACGACACTCGATAAGTCCGCCACTTTGGTTGCAACAAGATAAAAAAAGACGAAACGATAAAAACAACTGTTAGGATATTTTAATCAACTTGATATTATAGACAATAGTTTTATTTTGTTAAATAATTTTCGAAAAGTGAACATAAGATCATAATTATGATCTGTTTTTCTTTTTTCAATTATTTCTGTGAGAAGATTCTCGATTAAGAATTATGTTCGAAATAAAAGTTTATATAAATCTATTTAATAAATGTAAAAATAAATTATTTGATAATGAAATGATTTCATTTAGTTAATATAATTTGATTGAATTAGAAATAAAATTTGTTTGTAAATGATTGACTCACGTTCTCCATAAGCAAGCCATTTACAATAAATATGTGATGGAAAAATTCGTCGATAATAAATAGTTAAATTCCATGGTGTAACAGATGCTTGATCAACTTGTTGTTTATCTTCACTTGACATCTGAAAACCAAAATCGAATGATATACCTAGACGATTTTATTTTTTTAAACCAAAGAAAAAGAAGAAAAAGTAGGGACATAAGTACGTTTATGAAGTAAATCAACTACTAAAAGAAAACAAAGTTCTGTTCGTTCTATATTGAAAATGAATTTTTTTTAAATTTAATTATTTCATTTAATGTTTTTGTTCTAAAGCAGCAGCACCTGAAATAATTTCAATAAGTTCAGTTGTAATAACAGCTTGTCGTGTTCTATTATAATATGTTGTTAATTTATTAATTAATTCTCCAGCATTTTTCGTAGCATTATCCATAGCTGTCATGCGTGATGATTGTTCTGATGTTGCATTTTCTTTCATAGTATAATAAAGAACAGATGCTAAATTATATTCTTGAAATGAACGAAGAACATCAGCATCAATTGAATCATAAACTTGAATTGATTTTGAATTTGCTATAGCTTCATTCGATAAAATTTTTTGACGTGTTGTTGTATAAGCAATAGCCGATCTATTTAAATTAAAATTTTGAAAATTTTTATTTTATTTTTGTTATTTTTTTTGCATTTACTTGAATTTATTATAAACAATGTCAGCTGAATCAAATTCAAAACCGGAACTAATTAATTGTTGTGCAATAGCTGCTGCATCACCAAAAACAAGTGATCGTTTTCCAATTTCATTAATTGATAAAAGAATATTTGATGAATGTGTTCGAGCAAGACCAGCACGTGATTTATCTCCAATAGCAATTACTTTTGTTCCTTCTAAATTTTGTTTTGGATCATTTAATTGTGTACGAATATTTTTTATAATTGATGAATTAGCTGCACCACAAAGACCACGATCAGATGTTGCAGCAATTAGAACATGTTTTTCAGGACCTTCACTTTTTTCTACTTCCAAATGATCATAAAAAGCTAAAACAAAATATTATTTTACTTTAAACAAAAGAATTATTCTTAGGTTTTTTTTACATTTAGCACTCAATCCATATGAACGAGCAGCACGTAATTCTCTTTCAGCTTTGGTAAATTTAGCTGCTGAAACCATTTTCATTGATTTTGTAATCTTTTGAATACTTTTTACTGATTTTAAACGACGACTGACTAAGAAAATAAATATTCAATAAGAAAATTCTTTTAGACAAAATAAATTCTTACTATCTTTCAGTGTCGCCATATTACGAACAGATGTGTTATTCCTATGATAATTATATCGATAGAAAAATTAAAAAACAAAATTAAAGATGAAAATAATACCAGAGAAGAACACCACTTGCTGGTTGTTGTAAGATTCCAACGGCTTTGACAACGAACGACATTTTTTGTTTTCGTTCAAATTTTTCTTCTCTGAAATTATTTGCTTGATGAAAATCTAAAAAATTATTAATTCAATAAATAATAAAATCATCTCGAACAAACTAAATTTCATTTTTCTGTGTTTCGTTTTTTTTTTAATACAAAGAAAACAAAGTGTATTTTTTACCATAAGAAACAGACAGAGTATTTGATTATTTACCAAACTTCTATTCGTCAATTCTTTAGCAACTAATCATATACGAGAATTTAACCTCTCATCTAACACATCAATGCATTTGCAATTTTTATTAATAAAAATCTTTTGAAAACTGTGAAAAAGTTTTATTAAAAAACTCAAATTAGATATTAAATTCTTTTTTTGTAATAAATAAAATAAAAAATGATGAGTCATAATAGAGTCTTCGTTTTTGCCTCGAAGAATCTTGTTCCAGATACGAAATCAAATATAATCATTAAGAAAAAAACAAAAACGTTTGATATTTCGAAAAAGTAACAATGAGCAATAACTCATTATTATTAGGTCATTTTATTCCATCATCACTTATTGAACAATCAACACCTATTCGACGAATAACAAGTACTAGTAGTGATTCAGGAGATAGTGGAGTTGATTCAGTAAGATATTTTATTTCATTTATTTAAATATTTATTTCTATAATTACTCAATAGTCATATCGACAAGAACGAAAAATATTTGTTGGTGGTGTTCCATCATCTGTTGGACCAGAAGAATTGGCTCATTTCTTTCAATCTTATGGACAAGTTAATTATTCATTTACTTATTTTATATTCTTAATCTTAATGTATTTAGGTTGAAGAAGCTTTTATTATTTATGATCGATATAGTGGTCGACATAGAGGTCAAAAGTCTTTTGTTTTTGTTTTCAATAAAAGAAAAATAAATTTTTATATTAATTTATTTAGGATTTGGTTTTGTAACGTTTGCAGATATGGCTACAACAAAAGCTGTTTGTTCTACACGGATTTTTAATCTTCATGGACGAAAGGTTTTTTCTTTCTTCTTTTCTTATAAAGATTTTAATTTTTTTTTTGGAAAAAATTCTTATTTTTGATTATGTAGATTGAATGTAAACGAGCATTAAAACGTGAAGAAATTTTGGCTTCAAACGAAAATGATTCAAATGATTACAAATCTTTTCGTCCAAGTTTGTTTTCTTTTTTCACTTTTAATGTATAAATAATTGAATATAAATAGATAATACTTGTTCATCTTCACCAGTACCACCAATATCATCAAATCAAATTCCACAAAATATACCATTATGTCCAACATCAATTCCACTTCCATATGGACAATATCGTCAATTACCACCTGCAATTATTAATACACTTGGTGGTTGGATTGTCAATCCATCAATGCAAACAATACCACAAATGTTTCATCCCATGTTTAATCCTCATCAACAATATGGTAAAAATACTTCCAGTAATATTTAATCATCAGCTAAGACAAATTTTGATAGAGAGATTAACATTTTTTGATTAAGTTTAACTTAAGGAATAAAATGAAACAGATTTTTATTTTAAATTAAGATTAACAAAGGAGAGCGACATCTGAAGATGCATCGATCGAATGAACACATTCCGAATCATTTTGTTTTTTCATGATTCGAACAAAAAAAGAATCCTTCAAAGACTAAAATCTCATATGAGCCAATAAATGAGGCAAATCGTTCTCGACTCGACAAAATCATAATGAACAGAATTTTCAATTAGGCGCCTGTTTTTCCTTCTCCTTCAAAATATCCGACTATCTTTTGTGAGAAGAACTGAGTCACGATAGATTTCGTTTTTACTCTCCTCTTCGATTACCACTTTTAGTATTCCGAGGATGACAGTACTTTCTGCGAGAATTTTTAGCTTTTGTGTCGAATTTTCAGCTCTTCCTTCACCGCTAAAACCTATTAACCACATATAGGATCGGTTCGGTTCTAAAAAAAATATCTAAAGACATTACCTTTATATCACAAAGTGAGATGATAGTATTTTTCAACATAATCTAAAATAATTTCTTCAATTATGATTTCGAATATCGTAAATATATTTTTTATTTTCAGCTGTATTTCCATTATCAACAATCATGTGGAATAATCCTTATCAACACCCAACAATGCAATCACCGTTTATCCAAGTAAATTAATCGAGATATTTGAAATTATTCTTTTTCCAAAGAAATAATATTCGAATCTATATATCGGAATTTAGCGTAAAGAAATAGTCGTTGTAAAAAAGAGTTAATTTCATAGATTTAGAATACTTTTCAAAAGTCTAAAGTAGTTTTAAAAGTTTCTGTTGCATTTTATTTAAATGAAAAGTAAAAAAGATTTTTTTTGCAGAATTTAATTTATTATCTTTAAAGAATAAAAGAACAAATGTTGATTAATTTTTTTTTAATTTAATAAATAATTTAGGAAATAATGGTTCCATCATCATCATTATCACCACCATCAACAATGATGAATTTATAATAAAGTTTGATCTATAATTTCATTTTTTCTGTCCTTTAAAAAAAATTGTACAAAATGATCTGTTATTTTGAACAGTTGTTCTTTATTCTGCTAAATTGATAGTTTTCTTCTCTTTTTTTTTCTACTCTTTAGAGTAAGATATTCTTTCGTTGTTCCTTTTTCGTTAACTATGTAAATATCTATATAAATATATCATTTATTCAGATATTACTGATTGCATTGATGTTGTTAAACGTGTGTCGGTGTTATATCTATATATCTCTCTATATTTTTTTTTCATTTCTTTATTATTCTACTTGTGTTGTCGTGTGTTCCATTTTGGAAAAAAAATAAAACTGAGTATGGAAGGAGAATTATCATCTAATAAGATATATTCTATATTTTCTTACATCAGAACAAGATAAATAATTATATTAATATGTTTCAATATTAATTTACACCTCAATATTTATTATTAAACTTCTGAGCAAAGATAGAACCGGTACCGATACAGATTTCAGATCTCTTGTTACCGGTGTGTCTTATTAAATTTTTTGCTCTTAGTATTTCATAGAGAATATGTAATGAAACTTTGTTGAAAGTTGACTATGTCAAATATCCTTATTTACAAATGGAATAATACGAGAAATCGTCAATTCCGTGTTGGTATGGATTTTCGATCGACTAGTTTGGCCTATTCGAACCGGTTCTATCTCTTCATATAATTATTCTACTGTGAAAAAATCTATTAATAATTCTTCTAAAGAATATTTTTGTCAGTAACATTAATGAAATACATGATTTCAAAAGAATTCAATATCGTTGTTTATCAGTGAAATATTAGACGATAAAGCATATCTCAAAAATATTTGTTTCCTATGAAAATAAAACATAATGAAACGCTAGAACAATTCAAAAATGGCATAGAGTGTAAATTTTCATCCTTTTTTATGCAATAAAAGAATATCTAGTTTGTGAATACTCTTCTCTTTGTTTTACCTTATGAAAAAGTTTTGCATTCAGTGAAGTGAAATTATCAATGAAGGTCACATTGCTCTTCCAATGCCTGGAACGTTTTCTTTCAGAAACAAATAATTAACAATAGATGAACATCTGATTCTCTCAAATTTTTGATTAGCAATCGCAGACGCTCTTTGAAAAGAAGTTGCCTAGTTTTATGCAAAATTTCATTGGACGAAAATACAGAAGTTTATTGACTTGGTCCTATTGTATTGATATTCAATGAACTTTATGGAATGCTTCTTCTTGCGCAGCATACCAAAGTTTTTTTTTAAAACTCACTGAAGAAATTGTCTTATCTATTTATGAGGTCATTATAGTAATAAAAAACGGTGAATTTCAGTCCTATTTTGTTTACAACGCATCTCTAATTCAATTTGTTTTAGAAACTACAATATTTTCTCATTATTTTTTTTTTTCATTTTTTCAGAAAATTGATTAGTGATGCACAAACATATTGTACTACAAAAATCTTGTAACATTTTTCCTTGAACAATTTGTCCATGTGATGAATTTTATCGTTATGAATAGGCGACAATGGCATGTCAGCAATGTGAAATTCCATCACATTAACAAAATAGAAATGAATAAATCATTCTTGTTAAAACTGCTAGAAAGTCTTCTTAGAGTGAAAAAGGAACATGGCAAATATCTATTTAAGTCTTGTTGACTATCGCTTCACCAAATAGAAATGCTTTTAAGGTTTTTCTTGTCATTATAAATAATGTATTTGTTCTGACGTAATTGATTTTAAGTAACTTTTGATGTTGTTTCAAGAAAACATATTTCATTAATTTTATGGAAGATGAATTAATATGTGTTGGAAATGGTACAGTTTACTTATTTTGGAAGATATTGTTGATCCTCTATCAGTTTATTTAAACAATATTAGAATTTTCAAGAATAGTCTGGCTACATATACGTGAGAAAATATTCCATCTGTTATTAAACTAGAGATTAAAAATAAATTTCCAAGAACTATTATTTGATTTTTTTTTTCATCTTTAAATCATTGTCATAACTTTGACTCTTACACTAGTACTTCGGTTTTCGAAATAAATAAGAACAATATTTAATAGAAAATGTCAATAATATAAGATATACGCTATAATTTTTAAAAATCGATTAGTAATATTATCTAGCTAATTTTTCAAATAAGGATAAGTTTGATAATTAAACTTTTTGTTTGAAAATTATAGAAAATAGGTGCAAGAAGAAACAAATTTGACATTCATTCTTAGTAAAAGTCATCCTATCTTTACTTACATAGAAAGTGAAAGTACAAACAGAAACGATAACATCCATGGAGAATGATTCATCATTATTAAATGTCTTTAATTTGTATATAAATCCAAATAAAAGAGAGAAATATTTGTTTGGTTAAATAAAAAGAAGAATCATGATGAGAATAAAGATGACTTAACAATATATAAAATATAAAAAAAAAAAATTGAAACAAAATTTTATTTTAATACATAACAATATGAGATCGAAAGAAAACTTGTTCAAATTGAATCTGTATGTTCTTTTTATTTGTCGAAGAAAAAAAAGTATTGTTCTAATTTCGATAAATAAATCATGATGGTTTCCATGGAAAAAAATCACCACGTATATCTCTATGTTGAATTTTATCTCTTGCATCTTTACAAAGAATATCTCCTGAATCTCCATCAAGTAACGTTAATATTGGAATACCAGTTATATGATATTTTTTTCCTATTTCTTCTTTTTTCTTTCGTTCACTATAACGCAATGTTAACCAAGGCATATCTTTATAATATTCATTAAATGTTCTTTCATCACGATCCGAACTAATAAATATTATTTCGAAATTTTTTTCTTTATTATAATTTTTATAAAATTCAATAAGCATTGGAGTAAAACCACGACATGGTGGACACCTAAAATGAAAAAAAACAAACAAACAATATTTTCGACAAAATTTTTATATGAATTATAAAACATACCAATGGGCACTGAAATAAAGACCAATTACTTTACCCTTATATTTCTCATCATTAAGATCAACTTCTTCATTCGATTTATTAACAATATTTCCATCAAATAATTTTGCAACACCGGCCATACTTGCGTTCTTTATGTGTTACTTTATAAATATATATTGCCAAGAAAAAAAAAAATAAGTGCAGCAATGACAATTGCAGTGTCTTCAATGACTTGCATTTTTCTTTGTTGTTCTTAATATCATGGTAGTTTTTTGTTCTTTTTTGTTCTCAGCTGCTGCGTTAGCAAGAGGAAATCGATAAGGACAACAAGAAAGGGTAAAAAAACGAATGAATATTTGGTCTGCATACGTTCTATACAAATATAAAGAAATCATATCTCTTCAGCTGTCTCTTTGTTTTTCTTTTATGCGTAGATGTTGTCATACGTTTTACGCATTGAATAACATCAAAAAATCTTATTTTACATTAACTTTAAATCGCTCGAAAAGAAAAAAAACAAATATTAGATTAATGAAAAATAAGCTTATTGATGAAATTCATTAGAATAATACAAGTTAAAGAATATTTTTCGATATTCTACGATTGTGTCATTACTCATTTCTTGTGTTTTAAACCTTGAGAAAAATTCTTTTTTTCTTCGAGTATTACAAGTGATAGAATTTATTCGCTTAGCTAAAGAAGAAATAATTAAGTTATAAATAGAAAATGTAATTCTTTTATTTGTCTCAACTAAAACTATTTTCATCTCTATATCAATCGAATAATATTTCGAGCATCATCTGGATGAAAACCGTTAAGTTGTTAAAAAAAATGAATGCTATAGTTAATGAAAACTTGAGTGATCTAAAGTATATCACATTTCTTTATGAATCGAAAGACTACATTAAGAAATAAAATCGAAACAAACGACACAGTTATGAGAAGCAACATGTTTTAAAGTTATCATAAAGAGGATACTATTCTTTAAACATTTTCTCTTCTTTCGCTTAATGAAATTAGTCGATACACAACAAAAGAAAATCGAAAAATCCAATAAATATACCGTTACATTATCAAGCGTTGTAAAACATTTTATAACATACATAAGCGCATAATAATATATTTGATTCTTTTGGAATGAACTCGAATTGTTCGTATTGACAACGGATCGATTAGATTGATAAATAGTGCCTCAAATTCATCGACTATCTTTATCTGTTTTATCAATAAAAAAATAAAAAATCAATGGACAAAACATGTTACCAAACTTTTATGTTTATTTTACGGTTACTCGATATAAAAATTTGCGTCTGTTGTAGTCAGATAATGCGTGTCATTCGTCGACTTAATGATTTTTTTACTTAATTCTAGTCAGATTAAAAAACTTGAGAGATGATAGAAGAACTACTTTTGATTAATATTTTGCATAGTAATTGTGATTCACATCAATCAGCAAAACAGAACGAATATTGAAGTTTTCATCATTTAAAAGAAGTTAACTTTTATTATAATACAAGAAAAATGACTTCTTCACTTAAGTTTTATACGAAGTAGACAACTCTTATACTAACCTTCATCTTCAATTTTAATAATTATTTATTATTTTCACATTATTCTTATTGAATAAAAAAGCTTTTATTAGTTTTGATCGTATTCTTTCACTTATATATAAAACTTAATAATTGAATAAACTTTTATATTTTAAAAAGGAGCAGTAAAACGAATAATTTCCTAAGATTAATAATTTTCATTATGTTGAAAATATTACATGAAAGTATTGATTTGTCATCTATCACTGTGATCATCATTATGATAATAATACAAATTGTAAAACATTTTGTCTATAATAACTTCAACCGAATCTATTAAATCACAGTCATCTTCAGCAGATTTCTTTAGATGATATTGATTTGAATAAACTTGAAATTTTCCATTTTAATCAAAAGTTAGCCAACCATCTGAAATACATGAAACACATGTAAAACAACTTTTATCATTCAGATTAAATTCTTCATGTATTCGATGGATATTGACAATGGAAAATTCATCATTTCCGCTTGTTTTTTTATTTAAGACATATTAATTAATATCGAAATAAAAAAAAATGAGCACCGTGATTCATTGAATGTTATGATAAAATTAGAATATTGCCATATTTCAGCTGTTAAAAAGAAGCTCCTTCTCTAACACAATATTAATAAATATTCTATGAAATATTTTATTTGGATAATTTATTTGTAATTATTTGTACTGCTTTGTTAATAAATATATTTTCATTCAATGTAAATTCACCATGAACTATAAACGTTATCTTGGTCGATCTTTTACTATTTTGCACTGGCAATCGTTATTTTGAACAGTAATATGTTCTTCAACAGTCTAGCATCATTGATAAAATGATTTTGACCTTTTGAAGGAAGCATAAACGTCGAACCTGATGATTGACAAACAACGTTCATCAATGAGTTTATGATTAAGGATTAATAGTTGTATTAGAAAACTTTCCTGAGCTTAAACAAAATTTAAAAAAATGTATTTCTTGTGTCACTTTTTCTAATTCTTTTTTACATTTAATGTTTTTCTTTCTTGGTGAAAAACATTCGCATGTACAAATATGTATGTATCAATTCCAATTCTTGAACTTGATTGGAGTTTGTTTGAAATTGACTGATGTAGAATTACTAATTTTTGTATATGAATGAAGAACGCAGTCATTGTATACGATTGTATCCAGAAAAGAAAAATGTTAGTAAGTTGAGTTCTACTCAACCAGTCTTGTTAAACGTTTTTTTCTTGGTCTCAACATAGTCATTCACTTCTGAGAAATCATCGCGGCAGATCAAGTACATAGTATCTGAGGTCATCCGTTGAAAGTCAATCAATATCTTTTTTATTTTTTCAGCTTGAGACAATTTTATGAATAAAAAGCTATGGATAATAGGCGTTAAGACACTTGCCATTTTTGTATAGAGCGACATTAAAATCAATGGCATTCATCTTGAAGAAACTTCATTTGCATCAACTTGATAGAATATCAAAAAGAAATAAAAAGAAAATAATTTGAGAAGGAAAAAGAGTCTGTTTCATAAATTTCGTCAATACAAAAATTTTAAATATAATTGCAAAGAATGATTTTCAAGCTGGATGCACAGCGACTTTTTGAAGTCTTAACATACTAAGACTGTTTGATATATGAGAATAGTATACAGAAATCAGCTCCAACATAATGAAATGTTGAGAAAATATTGTTTTCGTACACAATCGACATGGCTGTATTAAATGCAACACATTGTTGTTTCGTATTATTGAATGTATTTTTATCAATTTTTTGCTCGAATACTTCAATGGCTGTGCTCTTCACTCATATATTTACATAATTTGATAATTTGTTTCCATTTTTCTTGAATATCAATTTCGACCTATTCCAACTTCAACAAATTCCGATCAGTTTCAAGCCAAACTACCCAACTTAGAATTGGTGCATCCTTACTGAACTTCCTTTCTTCAAAAACAAGTCAATTTTTGTGAAAAAAATCGAAATTGAGATAAATGCATAGGAAAATAGCTCGAGATCTGATCTTTCATAATCAACATGAGTTTTTTATTTGACACCTCGTTTTCCTCTACCCTACTTTTTGAAAAATATGCTTTTTTTTTCAGAAAAAAAACGAAAAATATTTTTTGATTTTATTTTTTTATCTATTTATTTTTTTTCTGATCGTGCATTTCAGAATTTTCCAAGGAGCTTCATTGTAGTTAATTGTTTTTGTTTTTGATTTAATAAAGCATGTGAAGCTACAATGCTCTTTTTTTTTAATGAAATTTTTTTTAATGATTCTATAGAAAACTACATCTATAATAAGATTAAAGGATTCTTAGGCACTGCATACTGACATGCTCTTTGAAATAAAAAAAATAAAAAAACAAACAAATTTATAAAATAAAAGCCTACAGAGAATGCTGAGTTGTCAAATGAGTTTTTTTTTTAACCTTTGTTTATTGAATATCTCTCAAAAACATCATGACATAAGGTTGAATGAGTTCATGGAATTTGAATGCACTTGATTCAAGATCATTTATCGAGGAGGGAAGATTAATTAGTAAAATTAAATTCTTCATACTGTTAGTAACATTGATTTTAATGAACGAAGACTTCAATTATGGTAATTGTAGGTCTCTATATATATTCCTAATAAAGAATATTTGAACGAGTTCTGATCAGAATTGAATAATAATAATAAATCATTCAATTCCAATTTTTCTTATCTACACGAGATAAGTTTTACTGTGCCAGTATTTTTATTTCAACTCTTGAGGGTACAGATGAAAATCACATAGGTACCAACGTCATTTGAAATAATTCTTATAAAATTGTTTGGCTTGATATTTCAATGGGATAAGTTAAAATTGAAAAATATTAAAATCAGTGACGATTTATCTATGTATGTCCAAAAATGAAAAGGTTGTATTTAGAAATCTTTATTTTTTTCGTTTTTGAGATTAAAGAACTCAGCATACATGTATAAGTTTGTTTTGTTTTTGATGCTAAAATATGTGATGTCTTTCATCTTAACAATTCAATAGTGAAATTTTCTCAAGATATATTTGAAATTTTCGTTTCTATCTGATGATTTAACGGCTTCGATCCCACACGACATATTGGGAATCGAACTAGAACCGCTATTTTGATTTCGGGTAATTTCTAGAATCGCGCAAAACTCTACTGATGAGTAGTGTAACAATGCAAATTAGATTGAATATTTGGGTCTTTGTTGCTGCAATATCAAATTTTTAGTCTATTTTTTGCTGCAGAATCCCAATAGACCAGTAAAATCATACTTTTATTTTTGATCTAAAATTTTTCCCACATGAAGACCTTCGCTAGACTAGCTTGAACAAAAAGAAATTGGAATTCTTTGGTTATTGTACATCCGAGATATATATTATAAGACTTTAATATCTCGGAGGTACAGTGACCAAACAAAAAAAAATAATTCTGAATGATGTTTTTATCCAAGCTAGTCTAATTACAGTCTTTATTTCATCAAAGTTTCACATAGAAAAAAGAAAATATGATTTTTCTTTCAAATTGAGATCTTGCAGAAAAAATAGACACAAGGTTTGGTATCTGAACAATAAAATTTCAAATACATAGTTCAACTTGGATTATCAAACTACTCACCATCTCCTATTTAATGAATGTAATCTCAGTCGAAAAGTGGCATTTCAGTTGGTTAGTAAAGTTTTATAGAAAACCGTCAAAACTTATTTATACTGTACTCAAAAATAAAAATTCTAATCATTGACATTATTTGCTTGTATATTACTTAATGCCTATGGAATTCTGGATAATACCAAACATTTAACATCGATCAGATTATGCGTTAATGTATTTCTATTAAGATTTTTTTTTCTTTGTATCGTAGGGATTCTTAGCATGAATTTGTGAATGAAACTTTGAAAATTTTTGATAGTTTTTTTCATGGTTTTTCAATAGGAAATGAACATTTTGAAATTAACGCTTGCATTGAGCAAAATCTGATCTCATATTCGGATAGAGCATACTCGAATGTATATAGTCACATAGACTATTCTTTCTACAAGAGTGTAAAGTGGTCGAGAGCCAGCAAATAACTTGAGTCAAGAGGGTGATTCTATCATTTTGGCCCGAACTGTATATGAAAATTATATGTATAATTAAATATTCATTTTATTGAAATCTGATATCATTTCATAATTAATTATCATTTCAAACTGAAAAAATGGTCTTTCTTTTTCTTTATGTAAATACGATGATCACATATACATATACAACAGACTAGTGGCGGCGCCAAGGGGAGGCCAGAGGGGACTCAGCCCACCCAGAATCTCTTTGAGCCCCTCTAGAAAATTTAATAAGAGGGCTCAGCCCCCCCAAGATCAAAAATTCTGGCGCCGCCGCTACAACAGACGACGGTATCAACAAAAGACTTTTTTTTGCAAAATATATAAATACATATAAGGTATAATTTTTCATCACTGTTCTGAATACTTTTTCTCTTCACTCAGACGTTGATATCCACAAATAAAAAGAAAAGTTGCAAAGAAGAAAATAAACAAAATGCTGGTCAATATGTATACCCAGGTCAAACAAGCACGGTCGTAAACGACCGTATACGGAGAAATACGACGATTTACATGGTCATGTATTACGATCGTATATCTCCGTGTCGTATACGGAGAAAAACGGACCGTACACGACCGTTTACAGGCTCCGTAAACCTCGACCTGGGTATATTTGTGTGTGTTGTACTTCACCAAAGAAAAAATCTATCCAAATTAAATGTAATGAGAGAAGAATGATAAAAAGAAAACTAAGACATTTTAGTAGCATAAATAGGAAAATAAAAGAAGAACAAAAAGATAGAATTAATATATTAAAAAAAGTTAGATATAGTGAATAAGTCGTTCGAGTGCTGCTTCCATATTCGCCATTGTTGCAATAAGTGCTTAAAAAAAAGAAAATAAAAGTAAAAATTAATGGAAACAAAAAAAATAAATTGGTTTACCTTCTAAATTTCTTTCACGATCAGTAAAACCACGTGAAGCAAGTTCGTCCAATTGAGCAGCATAATGTTGATCCTGTGGTGTATTCTATAAGATAAAATTAAAGAAATAATTTGTTCGTTTTTAAATAATATAAACATACAATATTTTGATTTGGTATCATATTCAATATTTGTGCCAATACACATGCATAATTACTTGGATCATTTGAAGATAGTGTACTAGCAATACCTGTTGTTGATAATGGAGTTTGACCAGTTGATGTTGTAGATATAGATGAAGTCGAAGGAGAATTTGTTGAATCACCGGTAGCAGCAGCTGGTGAACCTAAACCAGTTGGAACAAATCGAAGACCAGGAATTACACCACCACTAAATAAATACAAACGAAAAATGAAAATATTTTATCAATAAATTTACGTTTGAAAAAGATCAGGTGCTGCTATATGTAAACGTTGAAGTCCTATATGTAAATCTTGAAGTCCTAAATATAAAATAATAAATTTATTTTTTATTTTACATCATAAATCTAACCTTTTTGAATTTGTGATATTGCTGCACATACTTGATGATTTTGCATTAATGATTGTACTTGAGAATTTCTCATTTGTCCAATCACAGTTGGCAAGTCCTTTAGCATTTGTTCACGTACTGCAGGACTATCAGCCAACATTGGACTTTTAGCAATGATTTGTTTTAATGTATCGTAATTAGCAGCACCTGGATCCATTAATGGTTGTAAATATGGAACAATTAGAACACCTTCAAGTAAACGAGGATTTTGAACTAATTGAGACATATAATTTGGCATCATTGGAGACATTAAATCAGGTGAATTATCAGCAGCACCTGTTGGAATTGCTGATGCTACTTGTTGTTGACGACTAACTAGTACACCAGCAGATGTTGTATCAGTATCCATAAGTGATACAGTTGTATTTCCTATTAAATATATATATATATATATAATAGAAGAACAAATTAAAAAAAGTTTTCATTACTCCTCTCTAAAGTACGATTTTTTTTGTAATCATTTATTGTTTCTTCAAGTTCTTCTAAAACGAATATTGCTTCAGATAACATCAGTAATGTTAAATCTTCTTACTTTTTTTCGTTCAATTCTTTCTGTAATTTTCCTTCAAGCTCACATCGTTCAGCTTGTAGCTCCTGGAATAATCGATCTGATGATGCAGTATTTTTTATTTTTTCATTAATATTGTTTATTTTTTGTGTTAACTCGTTAATCTAAAACATGTAAAAATATAATGTTCGAATAAGATATAATGGGAAACATACTTCTTGTATAACTGGAAGTAAAAGAGCTTCTTCGAATAGAATATGTGCCATATCAACTATAACAAAATAAATGAATTCGTGAATATGACGAAGAAGAAAAGAAATGATTTAGTCCAAATAGATTTTCTTTTTTTTTGTTTTTCTTCACTCTCTCTTACTATATGTGCCCATGTCTTTTCTTTTTCGATTTGGTATTTCGTTTTTAAATGTACTTCTAGTGCATAAATAAACGTATCCAGGTTATCGATTGAATTCAAATAAGAAAAACAAAAATCTTTTTAAATATAAAATATTTAACATACAAAATTCATTAAGGAGAAGGGCAGATAAGGTCAGAACTTTTAAACTGCTTGAGGACTAATTTGTTTCTATTAGGTTTGAATATGGGGTAACTTCTGATTATTTATTTCAGGTTTATTTTGAAAAAAATGACATCATCAATTTTGATCATATAGATGGTGTAGATTCCAAAAAAAAATAATAAAATAAATTCATACAATATGCATTGATTATGAAACTTAGATAAATTGATATTGAATTGTTTTGCTTTCAATGTGGAAGTGTTAGTAATACATAAGAAGTCATCACACCCACACCCACAAACTGGTCCCGGTCNTTTTACGTCAGAAATAACGATTGCGCTGCTATCTAATTGACTCAGGCATATTCTACCATCAGATTACTAAATGAATAAACAGTTACGGATGAGATGCTCTGGATTCACTAGATACAGTGCATCTCTTCTAATACTCATTGATTTGTCTAATGTCTCGTTGCTCTTTGTTATTCTGCCTGATGCATTTTGCGAGAAAAATATGAAAGTAACCAACTCTATTTTAAAAGTCGACTTTATAATCATCTCATAAAGTTAAATGTCTAGAACTATCAAGATGAACAATATTTTGTCCCAATAGCTTTATACAGCTTTTTAAACTGCATTGTAGAGCAACGAAGTTTTTGACTTTGCCTCCTATGAGATTTTTAGAAATATAATTAAGATCCTAGAGATCCAATATGGATTTCTGGAATGCAAATTATTATTATAAATGTTCTGTAAATCCCATGGAAATCCCGGTAATCCCATGAAAATCCCGGCAATCTCAAGAAATCCAGGAAATCCGAAATCCGCCGTTTCCTCCTTGTCTTTATCAATGTATCTGATTAAAATCTACGTGTAGCTGCGTTAGTAAATACCTCTGATGCTCGATATTACTTTCCCCATTACAGTTTCTTTCTGAAATCACCAGTAGGCTCTATTTGTTTTAGATTCTTTCATCTGGACTGTACCATATCGTTGGAAGTACATGCTTTTGTAAATACGAGACCTCTTAGAAAAAAAAATTTCGTTGAGAACATGTTTGCTTGATCTTTAAAAAATTTTCAATCACGTAGGTGAACATATTAGTTACGATCGATTACTTTGAAGAATATTTCAGTTACTGTATATGCTTCAGTCCATCTATTGAGTATCTCTTATAAAACAAACATGATGCCTTCTCTAGATCATATCTTTCATCATTTTATCTGGTGTTCTGTATAAGTAGCATGCGTTCGTGATCAAAGTTATCGTTTGGATTACAGCAACGAGAAGAGATTAGTGTAGTTATCGTAGGAGAATGCTAGTAACGAAAGAGTGAGAAAAGAGGTGATATTTGGCTCTTTGAAATTCCTGATCTTCATCAAATTATTGACGCAATTACAGTGGATTATCGCCAGTTGTAACGGAACAGGATTATGGGAGAATATATGAAACGACTGTCACTAATGTTATTAGAATATGCCTCGTTGCTGATAGTTAGAAAGCATACAAATATGAGCGAGTTTTGTTTTTAATAAAGAAAAGCGAAAATCATATATGTAAAAAAAAGTTAAATTAAGAAAATCTTAATTTTGACGCGACGATGAACTTGAAAATGGGTCTGGCAGATCTAACTTGGAAACACCATTCTTGTTTTTCTTTTGGTTTACTCCGCATCAAACAGGTTTGTCAACAAAATGCGCAAGAAACTTGATTGTATCAGCCAAAAAGTTGATGTTTAATCTAAACAAGTACATGAGATTATGGCTTTGTTTAGTTTGACTAGCTGTTTTACGTTTTGATATTGTTTTATTAATAGAACATGCTGCTTCCTCAGTGGTCTAAGATCATAATGTAGCAGCTCGAGTTGTGACAGGTATTGATCAAAAAAATTATTAACTGAAGCGGTGTACAAAGTTTATGCCTACAATTTAGATGAACATCACCTATCATGTGGTCCATAGAAATCTATCTAGTCCCATGCCTAAGTTACACTACAAGTAGCAAAAGTTCTATCGGAGAATTTCAGATCATCCAATCCTTTTTTGTTAGTTTATATTAACGTATGAATAATTGTTAAAGAAAATCCAAGAAAATAGAGTGTAATTAGTGTATCTCAGTTATTTATAGTATTATTAAGACTTTAACATGTTTTTCAACTACTTGTTGGTTATCATTTCGGCCTTATCGAGAGGTGATCCCTACTGCAGAAACACCAGTCGATTGTAGAACAGTCTGAATTATAGGAATGTTCATGTATATCAATGCTATCATCGGTTTTCTAAACCTTCTATTTAATGTCTTTCACTACAAATCTCTGCAAAATCCGCTGAATATCTTTATTATGTTAATTGTGATGATGGGTCTCTTGAATACTTGAACTCTTTTCATTGACAGAAACATCATCAATCTTTTACCGAAGACTGTATAATCGAATCAGATAATACATCGATGCAATCATTGGATTCTTGTCTGAATGCTCAGTTTTCCACTTGTTCTATGCCAAAGGTTTAACTTAAAGACGGTTTTCCGAAAGAAAACTAATTAAAGGCGATAATAGAAGTAGATGCTTAAATGCATAAATGTACAATTATTGAGGGTGAGAGTGACGGTAGAAAACCAGTGCGGGTGAGTCGAGTAAAAGTATCGATACAATGCTGAGAATATACAGAAGACTGTCATACTCTCTCACTCTTTCCACATTTTAGTCTCGCTCCACACCGTCTACACATGCTTGGGTATTATACATATACTACTAGTGAATTTAAGTAAATTAGAGCTCGTTACTATTGTAAAAGAATCTTGGCAACAACAATAATTGGTCGTTTGAAAAATTGATCTTGAGAGAGCAAAAAAAAGCAAAACCTAATCCTTAGACATTATCAAAGTAAATCTTTTTCTCTTTGTCTTTTTGACATAACTGTCAATCAATCGCAAATATCAATATCTAATCGTTTTCGTGCAGAAGATATATTCGATAAGTTTCAATTTTTGACTCCCTATTGTGCCAACGTATTAGAAACTTTGTTCAATTACTGACAATTAGTAAAGTACACTTTTCAGTTTTCAATGAAGTATGCATTTGGTCTTCTACTCCTTATTTGGACAAACTATAGTCTATCATTAATGCCAAAATTGACATTAGATGAGTTCTTCAGCTATACTGATTTTACTTCGTTGACACTTGCACCCGACAATAGTCAATCGATTCTCATTCAAACACGACACCGCATATGGGATCAAAGCGTCAATGAATATCATCTTCATTTGTACTCGCTTGATGATAAAAACAAGACATTATTAACAAAACATGCATCTAGTTTACTTCGACCTCGTTGGCAAGGTGAATGGATTGCCTATTTAAGTGACAATCAGTCCAATACTATTTATTTATATTCAACTCGAACTAAACAAACTTTTTCTCTGCCATTGGGTAACGAATCGATTCATGCTTTTACATTATCTAACATTAATACAAGTCTGTACTTCGCTGCACGAACATCGTGGACGAACGAGGCTGATAAAGCATATAAAAACGAATGGAATGATGTAATTGAATACAGAGACAAAGAAAGAGGTGATACAATTTATCGCGTTAATTTGGAAGATATCAATCGATTTCAAATGGAAATCTTGGCAAATAGTTCATTGCGAGTCGCAGAATTAATTTGTTCGTTCGATGGAAAACATCTAGTTTTTTCTACTGAATCAACATTACAACAAATCGAATCGATGGATGATTATGAAATTTATTCTATTGATTTGACTGATCATTCATCTACTGTTCCACGTCGATTAACAAGCAATCAAGGTATTGAACGAAACTTGAAATGGTTTAACAACGAATCGTTTCTTTTTACTGTAACAAGTGAAGGATCGATTGATGATGAGTATCGAGATACTCAAGGACGACTCTATTCATTTGATCTTCTCAATGGAAGTATTCATCGTTGGGCTGATCAATTTACAGGTTCAATAAAAAATTACGACTTATTAGAAAACGGACGAAAAGGTTTAATCATTCTTGGTCAATTAAATACCGAAACACAAGTTTATACACAACAATCGATAAGTAGTCAATTGGTTAAAAAAATAGGTTGGAATGGAACGTATGAATCGATTGTTACTACCTGCACTAATAACAAATCTATAATTGCTTTTCTTCATTCTTCGTTCGATGCACCACAAGAGGTATATTTCATTCATAATATTGATCAACTGACACTTGCTCAATCAATTACAAACGAAAATCAACTTTTTAGAGAACGAAATCTACCTAAAGGGATATCCTATCAATGGTTGAATAAAGATGATGGAACTGAGATCGAAGGCATTCTTCTCTATCCACCAGATAAATTTCAGCAGAAAAATTTACCATTGCTAGTACTCATTCACGGTGGGCCTTATCATGCTGATTTGAATGTTTTTTATGCCGATTGGTACTTTTCTGCAATGATGATGGCCACTGAAGGTTGGCTTGTACTACAACCAAACTATCGAGGCTCATCAGGTAACAGCAATCATTGATTTCCACCAGATTGTTAGAGATATTTTTTTAATAGGTTATGGCGACAATTTTCTCTATGGTGTACGTCTTGAAATGGTTTCTCGACCGGGTAAAGATATTTTATTTGGTGTTGATGCATTGATACATGATGGTATTGTCGATCCAAGCCGACTGAGTATCGGTGGTTATAGTTATGGTGGATATTTAACAAATTGGCTTATTACTCAAACTACTCGTTTTAATGCGGCGTTCACTGGAGCCGGAGCTGTTGAACATGTGATTGATTGGGGAACGAATGACATGCCAACGAGCAATGCCTATTTTCTAGGTGGTTTTCCTTGGCAAATGCCAACACGTTATCAGGAACAAGCAGCAATATTTCAATTGAATAAAGTTAAAACACCAACACATATTGTAATAGGTGAAACTGACGTACGTGTTCCCGTCGCAGAAAATTATCTACTAGAACGATCACTTCGTGTTCTTGGTATTCCAACTAAATTGATAGTGTTTCCAAGTCAAGGTCACGAACTTAGTAGCAATCCATGGCATGAAAAAATCAAGGTGCGTGAAGAATTGAAATGGTTACAAAAGTACGGTCACATTTGTGTGTCAACATGTGAGGGGCCCTTAATATCATCGGCCCATTCTCAACGTATACATCAATTCATACTGCTCATTTTTGTCATGTACATGTTTATTCTTGTTTAAACTGAATTTCAAGATAATGATTTTATTCGACGCGAACAATCGATAGCATTTTATCATTTGTTTACATTTTTTCTCATGTATCGTTTTTAGTATGACATCTTATATGTTATCTCGTTTGCAAGTAGCATCAACTATTGAATCACTTCTTCAGGATAACGGATATCACATTGTACTCTTGACATTTCTCAGATCATCGATGTGCCATTCAATCATCTAGAGATCATTAGTAGGACGAGAATGATAAGCAGAAATACTAATTCATAAGTATGCAATCAATTTCATTGCAAACAATATTCGTCTACCGCCAGACGTTGTTGATTTAGACTTTCGAACGGTAAAGAAAATTCTAAATTTATTTTTTATCATTAGGTTTTTTCATTCATTCTTTTAGATTTCTATTTGACTTGTCAAAGCACTTCTTTCAGATATTGAATTCGTTGCCAGAAGATTTTTTTAGGATGAGTATGCGAGGACATGACTGATAATGTGCGGTGAAATCAAAAAAGTAATTTTCTTTTCATTAAATGTTGATTATGATATTCTTCTGCGGCCAAGATAGAACAACTGCTAAAAGAATATTCTTTAAGGTTATTTGTCATTTTTTGATTATAGAGAAGACAAAAGAGTTTCGATTGAGATCAAGCATGAATATGCATAAGCCAATACTAGGATCAATCCATAACTGTTGGTTTTAAGAACTAGGGTTTTGGTCTTCCACCTGAAATAGGCTATTAACTAATGTAATAATACAATCTAGTTTGATTAGCAAACTTCGTATCGTAACGATAAGGAAGATAAGCTACTGATACGCTGCAACTAATTAGCAACTTGAATTACTTGGACATAAAGTAGGATATATGGAGAAAGGAGTTAAATATTGAAAGGAAAATGACAAAAATAAAATGTCGAAATGTAAAATGTCGAAAATTATAAATCCTGTAAATCCTTGGTAAAAGACATTTTCTAAGTTTCAATCAATATGATCTAACATGCCACGCATATGCACAGCATAGTAGTGAGGGCGACAGTGAAAGCTATAACAAAGAAGGACCTTTTTTTCGATATTCTGTTTTTGATGTTTTCATTTTCGACATTGAGACACAAAATCCATCTATTGATTCTTTATTAAAACTTGTTTTCCTACGAAATAAAATTCTTCTAATCGAAAAATAAAGCACGAAAATGTTAAGAAACCTCCTACAGATTCAGATTTCGAATAACGGTAGTCAAGTTAATCTCCTATCTGTATTTACACTAAATACTCATTTTTTCAATTAAATAACCTCTTACTAAAAGTTTCAATAAAAGATTAATAGACCCTATTTCATTTTCAAGTAGTACAAGTTACGAATTAGTTGTAGCGCAATGGTAACTTATCTTTTCTAGTGCTATTACAGTAAACAACATTCTAACTCAAGATGGAAGATCAATACCCAAATCTCAAATCTCGAAACTCAAACGTTTTGAGATGTTGACACATATCTAGTCATAATCTAAGTAGAATGGTTCCTATATGTATTGTAAGACGTTCTTGTTAATATCAAAGGTACAAAACCAAAATTTTGAGAACTGCTACTGGTAGTTGGTGACTAGACGGCAATAGTTATTAGGTCTACAGTAGAATCCATAGATTACACAAAAGCAATAGAATTTATAATCGCCAGAAAAGAGTATTTAGAATCTATTTAAACTCTGTCTTATGCTTAACATATCGAAAAATGGTTCTGAGTAATATATAACATACTTACAATAGTATAGATCTAAAAAATCTCATGACTAAAAACATTATTGTTAGATAATGGCGAAATATACTATGTATGGGCATTAATATGGTTATCCTCATGTTTCTTTCTAGAAGACTTCAATTCTAGTTATCCGGAAGAAAATGATTTTAGAAGCAGAAATTTTCGACATATTTTCATGTCTCACTTAGGACTACATATAGAGAGAGTTTCAATAAAATTCGTGATATCAATTGAGCAACGTTGGTTGTGTCTATCTTACGATGTCTTCTATATAATAACAGTATTGATCCATAACAAGTTTATGCTAATAAAATTTTTAATCACCTAAATAGAAAAAGTAAGATGAACTTATCTTGCATCAAAATTATTCTCACAATAATTTCTGTTGCAAATAATTCTATTTGAACGTAAACGTTTTCATTAAATGAATTTTAAAAAAATAGTCGTTTCAACAACAAAAAACGAATGCATTGTATAGTGAAAAATTTTATTTCTTAAAAAATTGTTTCAGGTAAATCATAGCCATCAACAAAAGTAGCCCATTTATTTTTCGGTATTTGTTTAAATACTTTGTTTAATCGATTGACAAGTTTTTTCTTTGATACACGTATAAATATTTTTAGAATTCTTTCAGGATATTCTTTATAAATATTAGCATAAATTTCTGGATCTTTTTGAAAAACATCACCAAATAATATAAATTGTCTTGATCGCGTTTCTTGAAAAAACATACGTAAAATATTTGTTTTTTGTCGTATGAACGATTTTGATGCAAAAAATTGAAAAAAATTAGAATCCAACCATGTAAAATGTCGCATATGATATGAACCTAATGGAAACTGTTCACGATCGAAAAATTCACGTAAAAATGGGTATAATTGATCAGGTGAAGCCGTTAAATAATGAAATGTTGCATTATAAAGTGATTCATAATGACGATAACGTTCAGACATACCCGGTACTGCTTTAAATTCATCAGAAAATGTATTTCGAAGTACAGAACGAACATTTGTTACACCAGTTATTTTAATTGTATCATCCTATTATTAACAAATTTCAGTAAATCATCTTCTGTTCTATAAATACTTACGATATCACTAATTACTGAAATTCCATTATCGTCGCATAAAAAAATTTCACCTTTTTCTTGAATTGTTTTATCAGGTGTTGATGCAGTATATTCTACTTTTCCTCCAGTTCCACCCGGTACACGAAATTGTTCAATATCATCATTTGACACTTTAAATTGTTTATTAATTAAACCATATTTATCAGTTTTTGCACACATTTCATATTTCAAACCATCAATACATAATGGTTTATATCGTTTACCACTTCCTGTAAAATAAGATACACGAATTTCTTCTGCATCACCAACAGCTGTTGAAAGAGCAGATGTAGCAATTATTGAACGCACTGGATTTTTTTCAAAAAACCATCCTAGAATAAACAAAAGTTTTTGACAAATGTCTAATAGAAAAATAATATATGTAACCTTGTGCATAAAGTATCCAATCATCTGAAGGTTTAGCACGTGCTGTTAATTCCATAGTAGCTGAATGATAACGAAAAGCAACCGAGGGAACAAGCAATAATTCTGTTTCACTCGATATTAGAAAATGAGATGTTAAAATACATTTTTCAAGAAGAAAAACAAGAATAACGATATTAAACTTTGTCCACATGATTATGTTCATTCACCCCTATAAACAAATTTATATATATGGACAAGAATTTATTTATGCTCTCATTTGTATTTTATTCAATAAAATAGCTCTAAGGGAACAAATAGAAACGAGATAATACATAAATTGATGCTTACATCCAATAACGATGATTAAAGATGAAAATTTGTTTTACGGCTCTGATCCGATTACAAACACAATTTATCTTTTCATGTAAACATTCGTTATCGGTTAACGATACTACGTTGTTATCATCGAGTGTATGTATCTATAGTTTTTTTTCTTTTCTTTTAGTAATTTTTCTTGTCTATATCATTGCATGACCATTGAGTTTTTTCGGCTACGTATTAATTGCGGCCGAAAATTAAGCCAATTAGTGAAAAATGGCCGCTTTTTGGAACGGAAAAATTCTATTGTATAATTTTTATTGTGTTTCCAAAAAGCGGCCACTTTTTAAATGCGAAGCAATCAGTAAACATAATATACTAATTACACATATAGATTGATTTACATGTATAGCTATTTATGCATACAAGTACTACATGAACAAGACCGTCTTTATTCCTCAACACTACTAACTTTATGATATTTTAAAGCATCCATGTATCGATGAGAAATACTATAAAGTTGATTTCCAGGTGTCAAAAATCGGAATTGGAGCAGCTGATCCATTTTCACGACGCTAAGTTAAAGTCATGTCGTTAGAGATAAGTTCTTTAGTACACAATGAAAACGAATAAATACTCACAAATCTTTTCACCTCTTCTTCTTAAATCTTGTCTATCGGCTTATCAATATCATCTAATATACGACATTTTAATCCAGTGAATAGATTTTATATATTTTCAACTAGTTTTGGGTCATGATTATGACTTGTACGCTTGCATTTTAAGATTGTATCGTTTTTCACAGTAATAGAACAAGGACATGATTTAATAGTACAAACATATACGAATGAATCATTAAGATTTTCACGTTTCAATCGATATAAATAATTCTCATAGCAAACGACTCTTTCACCTTTTTGTAGGGTTGGCCAAGTAAAGTTAGTATTCACTATGTCAAATAAAATGTCATTCTCTTTCTCATCCTTTTATATTTATCGATCATACACAAATCATATCATAATTCAATTTCGCGATAATTAATTGATTGCAAATTGGCCGCTTTTTGGAAACACCTTAAAATGATACAATAGAATTTTTTTCCGTTCCAAAAAGCAGCCATTTTTCACTAATTGGCTTAATTTTCGGCCGCAATTAGGAAGCTACGCTTGATTATATCAGTTGATAACGAAAAATGATTTTTGCTGAATAATACAATAAGAGAGACAAAGATAGTGTAGAAATAATATTAATTCATAACTCTTTGAATTTATGGATATGTAGATGATGAAATAAAAGTATTTATCGACGGAAGTCTCAGTTGATATACATGCTGGATTAAATAAAAAATTATTATAGATCATATCTATTATTTTTTGTCTTGGAGAAGAATAACGTAGAAGTTGTTTTCTTTTACAGTTCACACTGTTTTGTTTAGTGAGGGTGTAGATGTAGAGAAGAAAAGT